GGGGACCCCCCGGCTCCTTCCCCCCCCCCCCCAATCTTCTAGTTTTAAGTTTTTCGGGAAGTTCCGTTTATGCCTCCCTTGGTTTCTTAACGGTTGTGGCTGGGTCGTTGTTGCGGCGACGCGAGGGAGGGAGGGAAGGACAGAAAGTTGTGTTTGTGGGATGAGGGGACATAAATGAACGCCTTAGGGTGTCGAAAGCTGAGGGTCGAATTCAGAACGGCGTAGAGTCTTAAGGGACGTCTCTCCTCCTGCGACTCCATCAGCTTAGCCGCAATCTGGGACCAGAAATGTAAATACAGTATCCCTAAAACCTAGTACGGTGCTGGCTTGCCACGGAATGTGAATTGGCAGAAGACCATCGGTGCCCTTTCCTTAGTATTGCCCTTCTTAACTTCGTTCCTGAGACTTCGTTCTTGCGCGTCTAGAAATACAGTACAGAGGTTCCCTTTGTGCTTTGCTTCCTCCTGTTTTGCCCCCGCCCCATGTCACTTTTTCTCTGTGGGGCCAGAGCAGCCTTGAATATTGACTAGAGAAGTTGTTATCTCCTACAAACAGATAGAATTTATTAGCCCCTTCAAACGCTCATTAGCCCGGAAGCCCACAAATACCAGCGATAGACTCTTATTCTATTCTCCCTGGACTTAAAAAAGGGAACTTAATCTTATCCAGTTACAAAACCCAAAGGTAATTCTTACTTGTCAAGAATCTTTGCAGATACATCCTGGGGCATCAGATGTGCGTGCACTCAGGTGATAGGGAACAAGTGACGTTTAAAAAAACAGCACTAAGAATCATAATTCCTATAGAAGAGCTGCATCTGCTACCTAACAGCATCTTCACTAATGCTGTTTCTGTTCTTTCTCTGTTTCTCAGTAGGAGACTGGGAAGACCAGCAAAATATATCCTCAGCTTTTTTCTGTACAGTACTTTATAAAATTTCTATCTGTTGTGTTTATTGGAAAATTATAATTGCTATGTCTCCCCCTGCTGCCTTGTCTGTGTTAGTGGTATTTTAAGGTATGTTAAAAAAACCCTCAGAAACATTGTTTATAAAGACAAATGTTCTTGTCTGACTGTGAAATATTGATTAGAACTTTAAAGCTGAATGTGTTTGAAATGAGATGGTACTCTCCACCTCATGATCTTACATGTATAAGATCACTATTCTGGTACATTAAGGAGGGGAAAGCATGTAGGTTTTGCCTAAACCTGTATAATTTGTCTCAACACCAGTTAGATATGATTTTGCATGCTGTTAATGTAGCCACTTTTAATACTTTTTATGTTTTGATATAAAATCTTCCAGTTCTAAACCTAATAATATATTCTTCTAAAGTAACTTGAATGTTGTTTAGCGTTGCTGCAGAACCAGAAGTGAGTTTTTTAAATAGGCGTTAGTTCTACTTCTTCTTTTTGAAAAGCTGCTTAATATTTCCTGGTAAATGATTCTGTATGTATTTCATGAAAACCAGAAGTTGATTTTATTTGTTTAAAAGGTATTTGGACAGCTATACAACAATTATTGTTAAATATTCTGTTTCTCAAAATTTTGATGATCTATCTTACTGATTTATTTGTGGGACACTGCCAGCCTTGAAATGTATAGAAAATATTAATCATATATTGATCTTCGAAGTCTGTTCTATCTGAATGCTTAATCAATATTGACTTCTGAGGTGTTTGCCATTCTCCTTAAGGAAATATACTATTCTCAGGTGTTTCTCAAATTGTGGAACATCAGATACATATATAGTTCTTGGGTGGATCTTAACTAAAAGATAGTGTGGACAAGAAGTGCAGTTTATAGTGAACACAATGTGAGTGTTCCTCATTCTGGTACCTTTGTGATATATTGCCATATCTAGATGTTTTAGCCTGCATCCAGCATGGCCCATGGTAAGGGATTATAATTTTTTACTCTTCCAACTTTTGAGGAAGGTTCTTTAATACATATAAGTGGCACAATGCACACTGATATTTATTTGTGTTGACTGAGTAAAGAAAAATTGTTTCATTGAGAAGGAGCTATGTCAGCCCCATTTGCTAGCTTATCTGAACTGAATGGAATAAATTGGTTGTCAATGGGAAACTAAATTAATCAGAAATAGATGGACTTTTTGTTCAGTCTGTCATGAAACTGGAATGTCTTTTCTAGTTAAAGCTTGGCAAGGCATTTGGCTCTCTAACGAGCAGTTGCTGACAACATTGAAAGTGCTGGGAGTGAAGAACTAGGTCAGCCACAAAATGTTTGCTCCAGAAAGGCAACATTTGATTTCCCTCAAAACTACTTGGAGGCTGTCTGGATAATTTAAAGCAAAATTCAGATCTTAAAATGTAGATTAAAAATGAAGATTAAAAATGTATCTTGTATAATATAAATCAAATGTAAACATATTATGATGTCTCTCTGAAGATCTGAACCAACTCTGTGCTTACGTGGCTATTTATTTAAATACTTGATATTTGTATGCAGGTGTGTTTCCTAAACTCGAACACTAAACCTTTAGAGTGAAGTGCTTTGCATTCCCTGATTGGGAGAAAGGCGGCCTATAAATGAGAGAGTGCTAGAGAGCGCAGTCTCAAATAGCCAATTTGGTTGAGGTTAAAGCTGTGTTAAATCCCAATTCCTTCCAACCTAGGGATGTTGAAAATAGTTTAGGACTGCCATTACCTTAATATAACTTTGCGCTGAAATGATGGCTGTATTGGGCTGGAGAAGGTTTGGACTGGCTGTATCCCTTCCCTTCTCTGCTACTTTTTGGACTTCTGCCAGTAGAGTGGTTTTGTCAAATCCATTTGCTTGTACAGTAGATCTTTAAGATTGAATGGGAGGAGAAGGTTCTGTCAGCATAAGAGCATTACTGCCAGCAGAAGGGTTTCTACCTCTTCCCAGTGCTGTACAGCTGGCACACTTTTAAGTTGTGATTCCACTGCTACTTGTGTGTGTCTTTAATGAGCAGGTGTTGTTATAAAGTGCAAAACACACATTCAATATCTTGCTGATAATTTTTAGTGTCCTTAGAGCAGGGTTTATCAACTCCTGGTCCGCAGCCCGGTGCTGGTCTGTGGGCTTGCCAGAACTGGGCGGCAGATACGGATCTCTGCGCCCCCCCCCCGCACACAGTGCAATGGGCATGTCACGTGCCCGAGGACATGTCACGTCTGTGGGGTGTATTATTTTCTGTATTTACAAAAGTGGTGGAAAATCTTGCATTGTGATGTCCTGAATGGGACAAACTGAAATAAAGGAACCTAAAGGAGATCATCCCTTTTATGTTTAACAAAAGGACCGGTAAAAGAAAGGCCCAAAAATGAATGAGGCATTTCCCAAAAGAAGCAGAGCAAATCAAACCAGTTTTCCCCTGGACATCCCTTATACCTGTTTCCTACTAGTTTGCCAAATCATTAATTTGTTGAATATGCATTCTTTGGCTTTTACCCCATGAGTATAAAAGTAATGTAACTTAATTATACTTTTACTATCAAGATTTGCATACATTGTCAGAAGAGATAAAAATCATTTTGTTTTCACATGCAGTCTTTATTGTGTTTTGTAGATTAGAAAGATATGTAGATTTTTTTTAGTGTCTCTTAAAGCAGGGGACACTAAAAAACTATGTTAATGGAACCAGTTGTATTGGCTCTCGCCTTTCCATTGGACCATTTCAGCAACGTGAAGAGGGGGGATCTGCTGCTTGGGTAACAGCCTATCCTCCATATTACTTTACACAGGCTTCATGCTCTGGAGAGGACACTCCTCGATTCAGAGCATGTTACCATAGTCTCTCGAGACTGAAGGATGCCTATGTGAGATTTGAAAGCACAAAACAGGATATTTTAATTGTCAGTAGAACTATCAAATAGTTCAGTTGCATGCAGTGAATGATGCTTCAAACATACTTTGAATAAAGCAGTTCATGTAGGTGTGCCCTATGCTGCTTCCAGTGTGAATTAATGAATTCAGCTACTTACATTGTTCCCCATTTTTCCTATTTCAAATGTCAATTGAAATGTGTGGTACAAATATCTCTTGATGCCTAATTTGTAGTGTCTTTGCATGAATATTTATGTTAATGTTTGATTCTGTTACATACCATGTTATGATATGGATAAGAATTCTTTGTGTAGAATAGAAGCTTCTGAAATGCAGTTATTTGTGTACAAATTATTTATTCTCCAGGTTTTGAATGTGTACCCAGGTTAGTACTATCAGTGAATTTACTTACGATTTAAATGGTATGAATCTCACTGTTCTTTGATTCAGCTTCAGTTTTTAGGTGTGAACATTTTCCTTTTTCCAGTGTAGCTTTAAAACAATTTGATAATATGTTTCTGTATTAAGTACCAACATTTAACTTAATGAAAGAAATTAGCTTTTGGTGAATGGGTTGGATGGGTGTATAAAACTATTGAATGAGGTCAGTAGATAATAGAAAGATTCAGGGATAATAGCAAGGAACATATCACACTTTTCTGTCTCAAAACATCATGCGGATCTCTAATATGTTCTGTATTCTAGTGCACACTTTCCTCAATTATAACATCAATGGATTATTGAAGAATCATTGTGATGGATGGCAAAATGTAGTGTGGACTGTGTTTGTTGTTGTTGTTTAGTTGTTAAGTCGTCTCCGACTCTTCGTGACCCCATGGACCAGAGCGTGCCAGGCCGTCCTGTCTTCCACTGCCTCCCAGAGTTGGGTCAAATTCATGTTGGACTGTGTTTACAGGACAGAAAATTATCAGTAGCCAATCACCTGGATGGAGTTTTAAATTTGTTTATTTCAAACACAATTTCTGAGTCTGAAATTTGACTATAGTAACATTTCCAGAACCCTTTGGCAGAATGTCTTTCTACATTGGTGCTAGATCTACACAGGCATAACTACTCCTGCCTTTCTTTCAGCTTGTGTGGCTACTGCTTCATGTTACTCCATAGTTAGTTTGGGTTAGGGCAGAGGTATCAAATTCAATTTCATCTTGGGCCGCATTGGCATTATGGTTGCCCTCAAAGGGCCAGTTGTATCTGTAAGACTATATAAATGTATCTTTTATTGACTGACTGACTGATTGATTGATTGATTTGATTTGACTTGACTTGACTTGTATGCCGCCCGCACCCTGCAAGGGTCTCCGGGCGGCTTCCAACATCAATTAAACAGTTCAGTTGAAACAAACACACTAAAAACCAATACAGTTACATCTATACTCTACAAAAGCAAAAATAAAACAAAAACAATTTACAAAAACAATCTAGATCCATAACTCTATCAGTCAAAATTTAAAGGTAAAGGTTCCCCTTGACAATTTTTGTCCAGTCGTGTTCGACTCTAGGGGGCGGTGCTCATCCCCGTTTCCAAGCCATAGAGCCAGCGTTTGTCCAGACAATCTTCCATGGTCACATGGCCAGTGCGACTTAGACACAGAACACTGTTACCTTCCCACCGAGGTGGTCCCTATTTATCTACTTCCATTTGCATGCTTTCAAACTGCTAGGTTGGCGGGAGCTGGGACAAGTGACGGGCACTCACTCCATCGCATGGATTCGATCTTACGACTGCTTGGTCTTCTGACCCTGCAGCACAGGCTTCTGCAGTTTAGCCCGCAGCGCCAATTAAAAAACAGGAAGGTTTTAACCTGGTGCCAAAATGTCAGTAACGTTGGGCCAGTCAGATGTCATTTGGGAGGGCTTTCCAAAGACTGGGAGCAGCTGCCGAAAAGGCCCTCTGGCTACAGGCCATCCCTCTCACCTCACTGAGGGACAGCTCTTTTAGGAGGGCCTTCTGACTAGATCTCAGTTGCAGGGTAGATTCATATGGAAGGAGGCCGTCCTTCAGGTATCCAGGGCCCAAACTGTTTAGGGCTGTCTCTTCAGAGTCCCCTGGACTGCAAGGAGAACAAACTTATCCATTCTAAAGGAAATCAACCCTGAGTGCCCACTGGAAGGACAGATCCTGAAGCTGAGGCTGCAATACTTTGGCCCTCTCATGAGAAGAGAAGACTCCCTAGAA